GTCCCAAGTTTAAATCTCACTGTGAAACAGAGCGGGCTATTACATAACTAAACCAATAAAAGGTACTTCTGTCTCGCAACTTAAACTTTTAGATGAGGTTGTCGCACAATTTGACAAGTATGATGTTTACCTTAATTACTGCATTTTCACTTTGTGGGGCATCAGAAGGCCAACATCGTGAATCCATCCCTAGCCAACAAGATTATCAACAAATGTAAAGACAGTAATCCGTACTCTTGCTAATGCAAGTGCTTCTGATCAAGAACAATTGAAGATCACAGGGAAATATAGTGCATTTACAAAATTAGCGATTTGAAATTATGGACAATTGAAAGAACTATACCACCGCAGTGAAGTTGCTTGGAATATATAAAATCTAAGCACTCATTAAGTTTTGATGTCTCAAACTTAACAAAATGAAGCCTCCCTCCAAGGATAGGATAGCTTCTCCTGCTGCCATTAGAAACACCCAATCTCTCCTTAACTTTTCTTTTTCTCCTGTCATCCACCTGCCGGTCCGCATGTCTTGAAAAGTAAACCAGCTTGATAAGAGAGCCTGGATTAACAAAATCCACAGAAAAGATCAAGCCAGAAACAAAATGATTTAGTTAATCATAATTAGCTTTTCGCACATTAAACTCAGCACCAGTGCAAGTCAAATTTGACGACACCTCAAGAGTTAACCACAATACTATCAGTGGTAAAACCAATTGTTTTATCCAAGTTTCATGTTATCATAGGTTATTAAAGAATAAAAAGAGAGGGGAATTTTACCACCAATATCCAGAGCCAAATGGGAAATATCATCAGACTGATTAGGCAACAGAATAGTGGGATCCTTCTCCTCAAAATTGCCCTGAATTGCAGCACCACTAACATCTAGCTGTGGGCGAGAAGATGACCGATGAATTGATGAGCTACCAGGCAAAGGCGCCATGTCTTTCTCTCCTCCTTTCTCTAAAACAATATCCTTTTCAGAAATCTGTTGAGTTTCCTCATTTATACAGTCAATTCCAATGTGAGGAGAGTGGTCCTCTGTTGTTGGACTAGCCATTATCTCTCTCTCTCTCTCTCTTTGAATTCCCTTCCTACCTGCTTCCTAAATCCAATGAATACTTCTTTAGTCAAATGGGTCCAATTTGGTGAGCTCACTTGTTTTTACTCCAACAAATTCAAGTTCACCCACCAAAACTGTTGTGTGAGGATTGGCACCAACAACTGTATCAAATAAACAAATGGAGTATTGTTGGAAGTGAAAGTCAATATCAACTGTTCAAAATTGGTTCTAGTCTACCCAGAACCCATTTGCAAAAATAATAATAACTGACTTTCAAGAACTGGGGATTAAAAGTATATGACAGGCTGTATTTTTTTCCCCTACAAGTCGCAGTTAATAAAGTAGGCGAAGATTAAAGTTAGAATTATTTCAGCACTAAAATCATGGCCGTAATTAGAATTATTTCAGCACTTTAACAATAAAATCATGGCCGTAAATGTTAGCTAGTGTAGTCATGAAAGAAAAAGAAAAAGTAAAAGGTGAATCAAAAGGGAATATGTGACACAAATTGAGAAAGAGAAGAAAGAGAGAGAGCAAAATGATCATACAATTAAGTGATATGGAACCCGACTCATACAGTCAGACCCAGTTGTGGAGGATTTTAGTACAGAGGGATCGGTTGAATCTTGGGGAATGTGGAAAGAGTGATTCGCGCTATACTTGTGCGTGCGCAGCTACTGCTTTTTTATTTTATTTCCTTAGGGGGATGGGTATTTCTTTTCTTTTATAGGAAACTTAGAGCATGTTTGGACATAAAGAAAAAATAATCATTTTTTTCTAAATTAATGTTTAGTCATAAAAATTTTAATTTTTAATTGAACATAAATTTTAAAGTTTTCTAAAAAATTGTAGAACTTCAAAAAGCTATTTTTTAAAAATTTTACTCAGATCACTCACAAAACTTTAAAAATATTTAAAATTATATTCATGTCCAAACACAATTCTAATTTCCAAATACATTTTTCACTTAAAAAACACTTTTTTTAGAATTTCACAATTCTTATGTCCAAACGCCCACTAATTTTTGCTCCTGTCCTTGTGTGATTGGAATATTGGATTAGGTTTTGGGAAAAGATCTTTTGGAAAATGTTTGAAATTTCAACGAGAAATTTCTTTTTGTACTAACAGTATAAAAGATAGTAGTAGTTCTATGTAATTATATCACATAAAAAGATTACAAGTAAATACACACGCAATCTCTCATTGACTAATAAGCTTAAAACAAGGCTTTTCTATTCGTGAATATCTTTAGTTTTGATCAAAGAATATTTTTAATCGTTCAATTATTGTTGTGCCATATATACATTCGTTTTAAATTTGACAGTTCATGACATTTCACTTCTAATAATATTAAATTTAATACTCTCCCCGTTTTAATTTACATAAACTTATTTGATTGTGCATGGAATTTTAAGAAGAAAAAAAACTTTTAAATTTTATGGTATAAAATGAGACACATATATTTTGCCATCAAAATTGATCTCATCTCTTTTCTTTTACACATGAAAGATTTATTTTTACACATAAGATATCTATAAAATATCTGTTAGAGATAAAGATCTAAAAAAGACACTTTTAGTTCCAATATTCTAAAAGCTTGAATCTGAAAAATCAACTTTATAAATCTATATTTGTATCTATATATCTATATAAAATTGGGACTTGGCAAGGTGATGTGGCATGCTTCTTTGACTTGGAATCTTATTTTATCTTTCTTCTCCATTTTTTGGATTTCCTTCTATTGTTAAAAGACTTTATCTATGAAACCAACTGTTTAATTTAAAATTTATGGAACCCAAACATTTTCTAACGTATAGAGACACATCAGTTCGGAAACGTACATACACATTAAAACCATCTTCTAACGGACAGATATTCATGTTTGGACCTATTATTAATTATTAAGTGTTAATATATAGGAGTAGTCAGTTTTCTTCCATCAAGCGTCGTTAGATGGACATTGTAGCCTATTAAAGCTTCAACAAGCGAGATTTTCTGACTGACCACAATATCCGTAGGAACAACATTTGGCTCTTTGTTTCCTTTTCTTGGGAATGTAATCTTCGTTCCCTTTTCCAGCCAGGTTTGATGTCTCTAATTGGAGAGCATTTGAAACTATGTGATTTCTCATCAATCATGAACACAAGGTCTATAGGAACAATAGTTGGCTCTTCGTTAGTAAAACTTCTCATTCTTTATAGCATGGATGGTACTACAGCGACTTATTCACTCATTGAAATTTATCACATGCAGGGTATTGATTCTTTCTTATATAATATAGGAATTTAGTCGGTTCGAGTTTATTTCATATTATTTGTTTGTTTGCAATTCATATTATTTGTTTATTCACATCTTTAGAGATACCGATCCATCGGAAAGCAACATCAGATTTGAAAAAAGCTTATGTAGATTGCAGAGAAACAAGGGAACAAAGATATTGATGATTCAAATGAATTAACTTTTAACAAGAGTTCCGCATAGCTTTGGAATATGGAACGCCTCCAACTTCGGAATGGTATGTGGTCGATTTACGTTGTAGGGTTTTGGCATTTGAGTTAAAATGCTGATAATGTTTTTGTTTGAATCTGTTTAAGTATTTGGTTTCATTTTCTTCAATTCTGCAGTGGGGATTTTATATGAAAATTTAAACAGATTGTATTTTGCAAGGATAAATTTCTGCGATAATGCACAAATTTAAGATGTTTAGCATGATTTTTGGACGAAAAGGGATTCTGCAGATTTACGAGGTGATTATGGATTTTATTAGAAAATTGACACTTAAGAATGGAAATAAAAAATAAAGAATAAAGTAAAAAGGGACGGAAGAAGAAGAAAGAAGTGGAAAGAAAATAAGCAAAAGAAAGAAAGAGGAAGAACGGAAGATAGTGGGAGAGCCTCCCTTATGTTGTTCTATTATCGTCTTGAGAGTTTAGATGGTTAAGGTGTCTCGCTAGAGAGTTGATTAAGTATAGGATTGACTATATTTCACATAATGCCGAATAGCATTTCAGCCTTTGCGTGTGTGAGAATTGTCATATTTCGTGCCTGTAGTGGGAAAGAATCATTGATATAAATCAAATGTTAATGTAACATATGGAATAAGATTAATAATTTTGTGAATTGTTACTTCTGTCATTTCTGAGAAACTAAGCAGGCATATAACTTGGCAAAGCCGAAAATGTTGTTAACATATCTGTATAACTTATTAAATAATTTGTTTTGAGTGGACAAGAAACTTAACAAAAATTTACTTAGAAGTTATTCTTTTGCGAACAAATCCTTGATTGCTATTAATTGATTTGCTAATTACTAATAAGTCATTAATCTAATCCCAAAAGCTAAGACCTTAAGATTTTAAAAGATGTAATTGTGATCAAGACATGCGTTAAATTAACTTTTTGTCAATATCATATAGATAAATGAATTGAGAGCCCCTTTTTTAGGGAAAAAGGAAGGATGAAACTAACGAAAAAGGGTCATTTTTCCTTTGGGAAGCTAGACAGGAGAGAAACAAAAGAGAAAACTCGATATATTGACTTTAATTTTTTAAATTACTTCTAAATTAGACAAAGACGAGAAAATATGTCTTTTTTATTGCCTTTGCACTGTACCAAACATCTAATAAAGTAATTTGCGCGTACTTCATGCAAAAGAAATAAAGAAAAAATGTCTCCTTCCTTTTGTAAAACCAGACAAGATATAAAAAGCTGAACGTTAAAAATTAAATCTTCACAATTTATTTTATGATTTTACAACTATTAACTAATAAAAAAAAATCAATATAACGAGGGTTTTTTTCGCGCGATAAGTTCACTGGTCATAATAATAAGTTTGGTCAATATTCTAAAAGCTTGAATCTGAAAAATCAACTTCATGAATCATAATAATAAGTTTGGTTGACAGAATATCAACTTTGAAGTGTAATGCCAGAGTCGCACGAAAGTGAAAACCGAACCATACCTAGTCTATTTCGGTATGGAATAACACTTTTTTTTTAAAAATGCAGAAAATACTGAACCCAAGTATTTCAAAACCGACGGACAAACCCCGCTATAAATATCACTATTACAAACCAAACAGTCATAGATCCAATTTACATCTATGAAATTCCAAGACACACTAAATACACATACATCACTGATCTTCGTTCTTATGCTCAACTTCGTCGCCGGAAACCTTTTATTTCTTCTACTACTATACCAAGCACAGGCTGCTTTTTCCATTCACGCATTCTCTGCCTTGTCACTTGACTTTGCGTTCTTCGACACATAATCCTTCACAGCAGCCTTAATTGCATCCTCAGCAAGCATGCTGCAGTGCAGTTTAACAGGTGGAAGGGAAAGATGTTTCGCTATTTCCCTGTAATAAAGTCGAATATGTTTCAGAATACATCTCACAGCCTAGAAAAATGCAGACTACCAAATAATCTTCAAGCAGGTTGTACAGACATCAACAGCAGAAGAGAACGAAAAATGCAGAGACTACCAATTTAATCTTCTAGCACGTTGCACAGACATCAACAGAAAAGGCCAAAATACTTTACATCTGTTTCCACATAAAGAATAGATTTGTTCCAATAACCTATCTAATCATGTCACCCCATAGACATACAAACAAAAACAAAAACAAAGGTGGATCCAAGATAATGGTAAGGGACCGATAAGAAGACAAGTTATTATATCTAGGACTACTGATATATCGCACTGCTTGGGAGATAATAATGTTGCAAAAGATGAAGTTGAACTACGCCATCCACCATTAATATAACATATTAGCAACAGGAGCAATGGAAGCACAAGCTTGCAGGGGATCCCAGAAAAGCAATTCTTTTAATTTCAAGATGGTACAAGTTTTCTTCCAAGTATAGTTGAAGATGGTCATGGTATGCGAACTTCAGTCTCCTAAGAATATATATATATATATACTCTCAATAAATGGCAATGATAGACACAAGAATAGCCAAATGATTTAGCATGCATGCTCTTCATTAGATTCAAGCAAAAACTTCAAAGAAAATGAAAATGGAATAACTTTGCCAACCATATGCCACTCGTAATACCTCTGCCTTCAAACCAAAAGCCTTGGGCGCGTTCAATTTTAATTTTTCAGGTAAGTTTCAATAAGCTTATTTTCCAAAGTTTTTTTATGAAGTAAGGTATTTCATTGGAAAGGCACCAAGGGGATCGATAGTTACAAAAGCAGAAATACAGAATTCAGAATACATGAAAAAAGAGTGTGTTAGACTTATCCAAAAGGAAAAAAAAGTTTTGTTACCCCTTTACACTGTGTCAATCTATAAGGGGTCGTTTGGTATGAGGTATAAGAAGGTATAAGAGTGGTATAAAAATTTAATACCACATTAATACTCTGTTTGGTTAGCAAACCAGGTATAAGTTATCCCGGTGTTAATTTTAACACAGGGATAACTTATACCTCATAGAAGGTGGGGTAATTAGCACCGGTATAACTTATACCTTCTTCTTAGAAATTATGCAATTGTCATTCTTAATACAACATACCAAACAATGAATAAACAACAATCTCAGCATAACTTATTCCGATATAATTTATACCGGCATAACTTATACCGATATAAATCGTATTCCAACCAAACGACCCCTAAATAGGGAGCTAACAAAGTCCAAAAGTGGTCAGTGCTAATTTAGGGGGTAATTTAGTCCAGAAAAAAAGATCGAGCAAAATAACTTGGGTATACCTCTCTCAGAGCTTTTTTTCCCGAAATTCCAATAATTTCAAATAGAAAAAATTCTCAAGCTCAATTCACTCATTCTTATTTTAAGGGCCTACTTTCTAATAGCCCTGGCCCCTCTTATAGGTGGGATGATATGCCAGCTGTAGTAATCTCATTCTAAATTTTATTAACCCCGATTCCCACCTCCCCACATTTGCTGAACTGACATATACAAGATTAAGAAAACCATTAACCTCCAAGTAGTTATACCTTATTCAGCTAACATTTTTTAGGGTGTGGGAAGGATAACAGAAACACTGCAGCAAACCAGCTGATAACACAAAGTAAATTAATCATTTGTTTACNTTATGCTGTCTGGCTAGTGGCTACTCTGGTCAAAATGCTAATTAAAAAAACAGTTATTTTGAAATCTGAAATCTGACTCAACTTGGGAGCCCCCCAATGTAATCTTTGCCGCTTCAAAATCAATATTTGGTATTGACCAAGGTAAGAACAACATAGCAGGACTATTAAAAAGTGTTTCACATAAATTTGACGAAGCAGGAACTAACTAAAAATATCTCGAAATGGAACTCAAAGTTCAAGACGTATAACTAAGAGAAACGACTGTTCAATTACTTATAACTGGACAATCAGAAACCTAGCTATGTACCTAAAAAAACCAAAAAAGGTTAAAAGGACTTACGTATTCTTTATGGACAGTACTTCCTCCATCTGTTTCCCTTTCACCCACTCAGTTGCTGAAAATTAGAAATTAATTAAGAATCATCACTACATCTAAATAGCATAAGATGCGCAATAATATCAGTTTATGAAAAGCTGAAATATGATACAATTAATTCAGTAACGCAGATGGGAAACAAATTAAAGTATGTGAAAAGCGTAAACAAATTGAAGAAACGAACCTACGGAGGAGGAAGCAATAGCAGAGCCACAACCAAAGGTCTTGAAACAAGCATCCGTAATTTTCCCGGTCTTATCATCGACCTTGATTTGTAGCTTCATCACATCGCCACAAGCCGGAGCTCCGACAAGACCCGTACCGACTGTGGGATCGTTCTTGTCAAAGGACCCAACATTTCGGGGATTATTGTAATGGTCCACCACTCTTTCATGATATAGCCGCGGCAACACCCCTCGCGCCACCGATGATCGCTGCCCCAACCCCAGAACTCTGTTTCCGACTTGCCTTAACATCTTGTTTATTTGCCCTAATTGATTGAATTTGGGAATAAAATGGATGGATGCGTGTGCAATATAGCTGAGGTTCCCGTTTGTGTGGAAGGTTAAGAGAGGCGGTTTGGAGGGTCGAAGCAGACAAGTGCTTGGGCTCAATATGTGGAATGAGATATTGGGCCTATACAGCTTACACGTTAAAATAACACGGTCTAGCCAGTTTTCGGACTGGTCATTCAAAAATAGCCAGCGTTTGCCAAGTCATTAAAAAATAGTCACTATTATGCTGTAGCAGAAACCGATCCAGCATAATACACTGAAGTTCGGTGCACCTGTGTAGGAACTTCCAGCATATTATGCTGGACCGATATACTTTGTCGGCTCCAGTATAATATTCTGGAGATTGGAGCACCGGTGCTCCAAACTCCAATATATTATGCTGGAGTATTTTTTCGGATTTGAATAGTATTTTCGTTCAAATTTATCTTTACATGAAAAGTGGCTAAATTTCGATTACCTTTGAAACTGTGGCTATTTTTGAATGACCGCATGTAAATCTGGCTATTTTTAAATTTCTCCCAGCTTACACTTGTACCGAAGCCCTTTGTACTTGGCCTAGGTTGTACAAAGTCCACCATATAATTCGGCGGGGACAAGTGCACAGATAATCATCCTCAAGGATACTATTTAGAGATTTATCCAATACTTATTTTGTTCTTAAATTTTAAAGTAAAAATCTTAACTTTTGGACAATTCAAGATACTTTTATCCAAAAAAATTAAACTGAAAAACTGAAATTCAGAATTCACAGACTAATTCTTGAATAGCGGCCTTTAGAATGGCTACCTGGTGTCATTTCTACAATTTTCAGGTCCACGCGAACGGATTAAGAAGATTTTTTTTTTAGAGAAATTGACATCAGGTGACAACATGTAATATGAATTGGGTTTTTGGCTTTAAATTATATTTGGCAAAGACAGCCAAAAAAGACAATTGAATTATTCATTTTAAAATTTTAATGGAAAGGGCCAAATATGCCCTAAACTATGTGAAATTGAGTGAATTTGCTCGTCGTTAAACACTAAATCAGCCAATTAACATTTATAAGATAACTAATTTTAGTGTACGTGCGTTACACGTGTACATTGCGTCAATTATTATAAAATGTGTAAAAAAAATAAATTATTTAAAAATATCAAGTGATGTTAAACTAAAAATATTTGTTTAAATGATCAAATGAATGTTATTACATTAATACAATAGTTGAAGTCAATATCTTCAAACTATATAAAGCCGATGAATTTAATTGAATTAGTTATATACTATTTGGAGTTTAGATATTTTATTATCATTATTATATAAAATATAAAATATGTTATGTTGTTATATCTCACGCAACATCTCTTTTTTTTAATTAATGTTATATTCATAATATGATAATACAAGAAAATATTAAATTAGTTATTACTTAATTAATTGTTAATTTTGGACAAACAGATTTTTTATAGCAACTAAGCGCACAGTCTTTCAATTGGTATAAATAAATTATAAAAACTTTATGCTATTTTTTTTGGACAATACAAAAATTTAATCTAACTTTAATTTATCAAGATTCTAAAATAAATATTTTTATGTCTGAAAAGTGAGGTTAAACTGCTTTATAGCAAAAGATATTAAACTCTGTCATTGACAATTTTGAAATTTCAAAATCAAGTTCACTGAGGACAAATTTTCAAATTTATAGTTATTTCAAAGTTCCGAGTATATTAGTTTATTTAAAGTTTAAATATCAGTTATAGTTACAATTTTACATAGTGTGGATGTAGACTAATTTATTTTAAAACTAACATTACAACTAATAATTTTGACTTCTAGAAATTTATACTTAAAGTTAAATCAAAACTCTTTAAAAGTAAAAATGAGTAAATATGAACATGCATTGGTGATGTCTTTTAGGTAATCAATTATTGAAAGTATTTGTAAAAGAAAAAGATACTAACAACTATATACATCAGAGGCTAAGAATACGCATTAAACTCCAAAAGCATGTTTAAAGTCCACAAGGATATAATGTTGGTTTAAGGAAAGAATTGAAGTAAAGTAAATTTTAATTGAATTTGAAGTCCTAAATATTAAGACCTTTTATATAGTTTAAATAAGATTTTTTTTAAAAAGAAATAAAATTTATTTGATTTTGAATTCCTAAATATTAAAAAAATAATTAAATAAATGTTTTATCTAGTATGGAGTCTATTTTTAAAGGGTAAAAAAGGCAAACAACATTTCGCTAAGGGTTTTCGTGCTTTTAATATAGTACTAATCTCTATCTACGTGCTTTGCACGTAAATATTTAATCATTTTTTTATATGAATCTTTAATATAGCAATTGAAGTGAAAAAACGAAGAAGCAAAAATAGTTATAATACTTGAAGTCAAAATGCAAATATAAGTAATTTAGTTAAGTTAATTAGATAGTATATCTATTTATATCATAGAAATATGTAGTGAGATCGTATCTTATTTAATACTTTCTTTAAAGATAATATTTTGGGTGTATTTTTCCTTTTGATTCTTTGGTTACTCCATCTTGTTCTATTTACGACATTAATATCTCTTCTGAAAATTAAATATATAGTTATTCATGTGAGAAAACATATAATGACACATACAATCTAATATTTGGGTTTGTTAGCCCATGTGCTTTAATATTTATTGTTTAAACACAAGCGTACTGAGATTTATTTGTGCAAAAACTATTACAGTAATTATTTTTCATTACCCTGAAATTGCAGTAGCTCGATTGTTTCCCCAGAGCATCTCCTTACATCTTACTCTTTGCCTTATTATTGCTAAGTTCCTAATGTTCTCAATAATTTCTCGTAACCTAAAAGACTCGTTGGAGTCCAAATTAAATCTATCGCAAAACTTAAAGACACCATTGGTTTAGGAATTTTTTTTAAAAATAAAAAGATGTCATAGGGTATAATTTTTTTCTTAAAGAACATATATTGATCTATATCTATTATATTTATTACCTTGGACTATCTTAGATTTGTTCGTTTAGTCCGTGTAAAGTTTATTTGTGATTTGTTCATAAATATTTAGGTTAGATTTAGAATAAGGATAAGTTATTAAAATCTAACACTATCAGTAGGATTTGATGTTTTGTATAAAATAAAATTTAAGGTACATGTTTTTTTATAAAAATATTCTATGTTTATATCTATTGCCGTGAATGATTCTATATTAGACTTCAAGAAAAAATTCTGTATGACAGAAGAGAAAAAAAAATATAATATGTAGAACTCTAGTATATAGCACTTTGGATGTGTAATAATTCTTAAAGTTTAGCTTTTTTCCTTTTCCTTTTTGTAATATAATACTTTTCAAACCAAAAATAGAGTTTGAATAAATGGTGTAATCCACACTTAAATGATTTACATTTATATCATTAACTTATACAAATATTTAAGGTCATAAAAGTCGATCAATATTTCGGAAATATTTTAGTCGTTCAACATTTTGACTAAATTATTCGTGCTTTTATAATATATATATGGATAGATATAGTCAATCTTTATTTTATCGTTCTAACAATAAATTCAATCTTGTATCCGCTGATAAAAATATTTTTGGATCTAGTAGTCTAAAATATGTCATGTAAAACGATAGAGTTAAAGAGTTATAAAATATAAAAAGAGACGTTTTCTAAACAAACTAAAAAAAAACTATGATAAGGCACAAAAATTGAAATAGAAGAAATATTTACTACTCAAAACACTTATTAACCTTTAAAGTAGACAGCAAAAATCAGAAGGCTAGAATGTAACTTCATTACATTGGATTGATGGAATTAATTGAACATCTGACTTCCAATCGCAGAAAAAACAAGAAAAAAGCTAGGTAACTTTTAGAGGATGGTACCGTGTGCTAGTCAAATAGTCTAGTTAATAAATTGTTTGATTGCGCAAAGTAAATTTTAATTGATTTTGATATCCTAAATATTAGAATTTTCTATGTAGTAATTTAAATAAAGAAAATTTTAATAAGCAAAATTTTAATTGATTTCAAAGTGCTAAATATTAGGGAAATAATACAATGACTATTTTGTCTAATATAAACTCTATTTAAAAGGAGTAAAAAAGGCAAACGACATTTCGCTAAAGGCTTTCATACTTTTAATATAATATAGATAGATAGATATAGATTTGCAAATTAGTACCAGATCAAGACATGTGTCATAATATGGTGCACTCTTTCTAACCCATTTTCAACCCCTCTAATTTGGAGCCAAAGTTCTTGGTTTTCACGTAGTTTCTTTAGCTGTAGTTTGTAAATCTAAGCATTTTCTTTAACCTGTATTGTCACGATCCAAAATTCACTAAGGGTCGTGATGGCGCCGGACACCACTGTCAGGCAAGCCAACAATAATTTACTAGCATTTTATCATTGTATTTGTTTTGAAATCATTTTCTTTAAACAAATGAATAATAAATAATAAACTCCACTGAATAAATGAGGATATTTTTACAAAGTTTAACTACTGAAAAATTCCGTGATCCCCTCAGAACCCGTCGTCACAAGTGCATGAGCATTTACTAGGGAATGAAATAAAATACAGTAATTGTCCGGAATACAAGTGGACAGAAATGAAAATACAATACAATACAATACTCTGAAGGAGACTTTGCTGGCTGCGGATCGTCTCGATAATTGCATCGTCTCGATAATTGCAGCTCACCTAAGTCTTCGTATCAACCATGCCGCATGCCACTAAGCTACTAGCCACATATAAACTTGTGCAACAAAAATGCACATCAAGTGTAATATGAGTACGAAAACAACGTGTACCCAATGAGTATCCCGTCTAATCTCAAAGAAGTAGAGACGAGAGGTCGACTTCGACACTTACTAGTGGCCCAATGATAATATAGTAAAAATATGAGGAGATCAGGGAATTTTATTAAAACAACAATTATAATTCATAAATCCAGATAGCAGGTAAATAACTTCCCAAATACTAATGGATTTCCAAAGATTTACTTTTCATTATCTTTATCAATTTATCTCTGGCCAGGAAAGGCAAATGTCAACATTTATAAATCTCAAGCAACAATACAAACATGCGCATATCATGTCGAGGTCGTACG